TATACTAATGTAATTTTTAGTCTCTTACTTTTTATTTTATCATCTATATGTATTTGCTTTTACTATTTTAGTATTTTTTGCTTATCATACAATTGATAAAATTTCTATCATGTTTATTGTGCAGGTAGCAGTACCTTTATTTCTTAATCAGAACTATAGCGATTTTAGAGATTAAAATTTCTTACTCTCATCTAAACTTAACTAATCCATCTTTTGGGCCCTTGGACTTCTTTAAACTCTCTCTGAATGGCAATATCATAACTCATTGTACATGCTCCAATTGCTGTGATACTGCAAGCAAATAAAGAATTTTACTTGGTCATCGCTGCAATGTAGATATTATAGATGATTACGGTAACAAAAAGTATTCCACTAACCACAATTTCAGGAGTTTCTATGCGGGCTTGACAAAATGTAAAACAAGTTCAGATAAAACCTGTATACTCAATAATATGAGCTGCTTTCACCCTAGGTAGCTTTGGATGATGAGGGATTTATAGTTTAATTTTTCTCTAATGAAGCAAACAGACCCAGGATGTCATTGAATTACATTAGCTTTGCTGCCATGAAAGTATTCTTGTACAGAGTGAACTATAATTTTTACCTCGCCTAGATCTCATCATCACCCCGACAGAAATTGAATTTGGTCAGTTAAGTCTACGATTTTTACGTGTTTCGATTATATCATGTATATCAGTGGGTCACAAGGCAGACGTTAATTTTAAGCCAATTAAAGCCTCTTCCACATTATATTTTCCAGCGGGATTGTTGATTCAACAAACTTGCATTTAATATTGAATTTAACTACATTACTTATATTCTCATTGAGTAGTATGCAGAGTGGTCGACTAGTAGTAATTATATAATTCAATAGCATCATAAAACATACTCGTATCATTGTGGGAAATCCATCCATTAGTTGCCCATAACCCTATGAGACCTTGGGCGAACACAACTGTTTATATGAAGAAAAACTGTTTTTCGGAGAATTCCTTATTAAAATATTATGACATGCCATTTCGAATGGAAAGATGGTTGGAAAGAATTTGTGATGTGTTCTTACTGGAAACCGAAGGAGGATTAGCGACTAGGGTAGACTGTTAATTTGTTCGAAGAAGTCTTTGGTCCACCGGCATACAGTACTCGATGAAAATATGCTAGGATTTCCTCTGTACTGTGATAGAAATCATCAGAGCAAGAAACCAAGAAAATAGGTTTAGTAAATTTTTGCCTGCTCTGAAGATGTCTGTCACAGTGCAGACGAAAGCCTAGCACAGTTTCATCGGGGTCGCAGGACAGTGAGCCAAAGACTAATCACAATTCAACAGCCTTCCCTACGCGTTGAACTTCCTTCGGTTTCCGGTGAGACAACATAAAAAATTCCTTCCAGCCAACTTTCCCTTCGAAATTGAGAGTAATGCCACAACTGTTTTTAGTCCGTTTAAAAGCTATCGATCCGACTGTATTAACGCCATCATAACTGTAACTTCATCTCTTATTTTACACCTTACGGATAAGTATACATATCAAATTTTGTCCAGTACTTAGATTATATATCTGAAGATCTTGGTCTTTGGCCACTATCTACTTTAGCTAATTAGACTTAGTTTGACTTAATTTTCTCGTTTTAGCGTTTATTTTAGGCATGATCCCCACCTTGCTTCCTCTGCTATGGTAATTATGATACGTTCCAATACCAGATAGCTTAGTTAGTAACTTGTTAGAATTTCCCCCTATATCTTCAGTGAAGCCTTAGAATTTTTGCTATCAAGATTAAACTCGCCACTGGACTAGTGAAATCCATTCGCTGCGCAATCTTGACCAACTCCGGTGTTTATGAAACGTCTGGAAGTGTAACAGGTTATTTGTTCGATTCTTGAGCTTATCATAACTCCTATGACATGTCGCGGGATTAGCCATAATTACGCATGCCTCAGGCTAGAAGGTATTTACAAAAAGTCTTTATATTAAGTACTGGCGTACTTTTCAATTCATTTTAGAAGGCGGGTCAAAGGGATTCGTAGATAAGTAAATATTGGAAAATTGCTGGGAATTTCATCCAACGAAATTGCTCGCTGTTCCTTATTATTTTACTTCCCTACCAAAAATTACCTCTGAAAAGCTTGGTTACGATGACTAATTTTTCAAAATTGTTTTTGGATATAAATGCAATGAGGATTAAATCTCAGGTGATAAAATTTTTTGTGTACTAAATGATTCTTATGAATCAAAATTTTCGCTAAGATTTGGTCTCTTATTAAAAGCTTATCTGCCACATTCAAAGGATTTAGATAGTTTCAGAGTTTAGTGTTTCTCTACATTTTGTGGTCGTCCTGATCTTTAGTAATACGCTGTTTGTGAAGTACGATTCCTTTCACATATCTTGTTTATTAGTTGCAGATGAGGCAATTAGATGACATATTTTGAATTATTCTCTGCTAGTCAATTACAGTGCTATATTTCATTACATTATCTTATTTAATCTTGATATTCCAAGCTTCTCCTTGGATATACATTATGATCGGCATTAATTCTCCTAGCGATGCTTTCGAAGTTGATCCAGAGACCTTACGATGAATGTGGACGTGCATTTGCTTTTCCTAATAGCCTACAAGTAGAAATCATAAACTAGCAAATTCGAATCAATCCCGAAGGCCAAAATCATAATCAAACTTAAACTCGCCTGTCGCAAAACCATCCCTTTAAAGCACTGCAAAAGAATATCTAAAGTTATCGAGCCAGACAGGAAAAACACTGCGTAAAGCGAAAATGGTAGTCTTCGACTAACTTGTATTTACATGTATTAAGTCATTGGCACAACGTAATTATGCGGATAATCTCATCAGTCTTCATTGTACGCTACCTAAAAGTTCACAACTGATCTCTGTCAAATATTCCACATTTTTAAGGAGGGTGTATTTTTATCCACTCGAAACTTTGAATCCTTATAAGTTCCGCATAGTTTTATGATGGAAATGTATTTGATTCTTTTTGGATAATTGGCTTCTTTTAAAAGATTGCTTTTAATCTAGTTGATAATGGCTTTGAGAGCATAATTGTTCCTCTAATAGCCTTGTTTTTTTCCTAACGGAATTGCATAATTTACCTCATTTTTATCAGTGATTTGACATCTTTTCGACCTCGGTGATTTACATTCCTAGATTATATGAACAGATCACTTAACTTTTATTTAATTTATTATCTTAAAGTCTATTTTACCTTCCGGATTCCTGATCACTCTGGACAGTTTTATATTTACAATTACAGAGCCATTGTATTACGGTGAAATGTTAGGTAATATTAGATCTTGAAAATATATTTAAACGTATCATTGAAATAAGGATAATTGATCTCCATCTAAAATGTATTGACTTCCTCATCTTGATATGCTATTTCTTTCTGTAATGAACATTGTGTTACGAAATTAAAAGGCAAATATTCATGCATTTTCTTCGGCTGCACTAAGTCTGTGCCGAATGTTGAGTTGTCTTTAATATTCCCTCAATAGTTCTTATACAAATCTCATTTTTTTACTTGGTCCACTACGCTATCTGTACTTAGCTAAATGAGACTTTTGTGTCAAATAATTATCATATCCTTCTTTTACCGATTCAAAGTTTAAACCCTCAAGATGAGAAAATCCATCCTGTAGGAATGCTCATTTTTTCTTTCAGTGGGAGAACCATGAGCGTAGCCTCTGCCTAGAAGAGGAACAGCGTGCCCGTATTCAGGCTCGCATCCAAGAGAAGGTGATGCTCAAGGAAGGAACCTGGATCGATTGGCAATACCTTCTGACTGCAGCAGACACCCTTCGTCGTTGTCGCTATACTCTAAAATATACTTATCCTTATGCCTATTATCCAAACAGCCTTCAGCGCAAGGAGTTATTTGAATACCAGCAAGGCTTGCTTGAGGCAGAGGTGGAGGATCTTTCTTGGAAGATTGAGCATGCTGAGATTACTGATCGTGGGGATCTTCAGAGCAAAATTGACATATGCGAGAAGCATAGGCTAACTATGCTGCAGGAGTTTCTTACCAGCTAGTCGCCAGTCTTATTGCAATTATTTGAACCAATTCATTGTTTTCTTATCATTAGCCATCCCACTAATTTTTATTCTCTCAGACTCTCACGCGACTTTTATTTGTTTAGCTCTTCACAATAATCTCAATCCTCTCATTTTTCTTATTCATCCTTGTGTCTACTTTATCATGAGTTGATATCTGTTACATACCTAAAGAGCATATTTTCTGTTTATACGCATGTGTGCAGCACGGCCTGATATTCTGGTTGCGTAAAATCGCGAACCCACCTGTAAATTAAATATGTTTGTTGCTTTATTTATTTTCATTTTCACTATATCGCTATTTTCCATTTGTCGACGCGCATTATCCTCTGAACTATTTGTTCATGCACAAATACCATGGGAACGAAATCTTTCTTATGCAATGACTACCCATGCATCATTCTTTTTACCTTTTTCATTTTTGTGTCACCCTTTTATTACTGTATCTACTCAAGAAATATTATGCAGCCTCCGTTTTTATGCACCTTATTTTATATATATATATATATATATATATAATGCGATTTCACAAGGGGATTCGTAGCGTTACCGCTTCTTCATATCTCTTATAAAGCCTTCTACCGTTAAGCGTCTGCTTCAGTCTTCCTTTGATCTTAAGTTACCGTTAAATTTTCGGTCAAAATGAGTTTAAACTAATGAATCGTCCACTTCACTCTTATTTGCCTATTTGACTTTAACTCTACAATGGCTTCTGTCAAAGGAAAAAGATCCCCTTTTAAGTGGCTCACCTTCACCAAATCAATGAAACATCTCATCGAAGGTATGAAGACCAAGATGGTGTGGCCTTTTGTGTGGTCGCAGTCTCCTTTCGTTGTATA